CGTCATCTCTCAATGGAAGCACCAAATTGTTAAGACGATACCAACGTATCGCTTCGAGTGGATACAGACTCCTGAGACAATTAGTATAGAGAGAACAGAGATTGGAAGAGACTTGCTTTGGGTTTTCAACTTCTTCTTATTCTCCAGAAAAAGGAAATACATGGAAATAAATAGCAGCAACTTTATTTGCAAGAATAATCCCCCAAGTATTTTGGAGTCCTTCTCGCTCGCCCGGATTGACGTGGCATCCTAGGCGTTGACTCCGTCGTATCATCCCTTTCCCGATCGGAAACGACCTTGTCCTCAAGGTCGATCATTGGGAACTCCTCCTGGAACCGGGCCCGATATTAGAAATGGGTATTTTAAAAATTTACTCTACTTAAAAGAAAAGATAAATTTGTTAAAATAAGACTAGAGCTGGCAAATCAGTCAGTCAGGTTGGGTTTGGTCACTTCGAGTTTAGATTATTTTGGGTTCGGGTTAATTCGAGTTCGGGTTGACAACTGTATGTTCATGACGCAGGGTCATCGGGATCGGGTCGACCCAACGGATTAGGACTTTGGTTTTTTAAATTTTTAAATTCACATTAACAATTACATTTTCTATTTCATAAATTTAAAATATCAAAAAAAAAGTATTAAAATTATTAGATTATTTTAATTTAAAATCTGAAATAATTTTAAGATATATATAAATCAATATAAGGAATTTAAAAAAATGTTTTTTCGGAAAAAAGTAAGATATTATGCAAAATCATTAAAATTTTGTCTGAAAATATAAATTTATCCACTAAAAACGAGTATTAAAGGGTATAATTTAAAAAATTCTTACTTTAGCGGGTCGGTCAGGTCGAATTCGAATTCATTCAGGTTTGACCCATTTTTAGCGGGTCGTTTTGAGTTTGGTCATCAAAACCTTTACTCAAAACCTAGTATTTTCAGATCGAGTTTCGAATAAAAAACAAGACGAATCATTTTTTGTCAGTCTAAATAGAGTGCTCCGTAACAAATAATCGCTCCAGGGCTAGTTCTGAGGTTAGGCCTAAGGGGCATTGCTCATAGCCCACTCAAAGAGGAGTAATACTCTTTCCGTCCGGAAAAGAAGTTCTTATTCTACTCTTTTTTCCGTCTAGAAATAAAGTTTCCACTATACCTTTTCATACGCACTATTCCTAAAATACCCTTGGTCTTCCCTCTTTTTTCCAGTTTCTTTTTCTTTTTCTTCTTTCTCTCTGTTCCTTTCTCCGCCTCTCTCTCTCTCTTCCCCCCTCCCCCTTCTTTTTCTTCTCCTGGTTTTCTTCTTCCTCCTCCTCCTCCTTTTTTCTCCCCTTTCTTTTCTCGACTCCTGAGACAATTAGTATAGAGAGAACAGAGATTGGAAGAGACTTGCTTTGGGTTTTCAACTTCTTCTTATTCTCCAGAAAAAGGAAATACATGGAAATAAATAGCAGCAACTTTATTTGCAAGAATAATCCCCCAAGTATTTTGGAGTCCTTCTCGCTCGCCCGGATTGACGTGGCATCCTAGGCGTTGACTCCGTCGTATCATCCCTTTCCCGATCGGAAACGACCTTGTCCTCAAGGTCGATCATTGGGAACTCCTCCTGGAATCGGCGTCGATCCTCCCATGTGGCATCAGAATCCTCTCCACCTTCCCATCGTACAAGTAGCTCTTCGACTGGCTGGCCTTTTTTGAAGATGGTCCTTCTTCCTATCACAGCTTCCGGCCCGACTGCTGGTTGTTCCGCCATCATGTCTGGTGGCAGCATAGCTATTTCAGTTCCCAACTCCCCCTTAAAAGGTTTCAACAAGGATACATGGAAAACATTGTGTATCTTAGCAGTCTCAGGCAAAGCCAACCTATACGCCACCATGCCAATTTTTTCAGAGATTAAAAATGGGCCATAATAGCGGGCTGCAAGCTTTTGGTTCCTCCGATTGGCCACTGATGTCTGACGATAAGGTCGCAGACGCAATAAAACCCAATCGCCTACTTCAAATTGCAAATCTATACGCTTCTTATCAGCTTGCTGTTTCATCCTGTG